CACGGCACTCGGTCTTCATCGTCTTACTTACAGAATATTTCGTTTAGTTTACTCTTGCACAAAATCAGCAAACAAAAAGAAAGCTAAGAAAAAAAAACAACAAACAAACAAACAAACCAAAAATAAAAACCCTTCTTACACCACCCAAGCCCCTTTTTCAAGAGAAAACAAAACCCCTTGTGAATTGGCCTTCCACCACATGTACACTTACAGCAGTCCTGAGTCTGAGAGGAGCCCCAGTGTGGCCTTACAGCAGTCCTGAGTCTGAGAGGAGCCCCAGTGTGGCCTTACAGCAGTCCTGAGTCTGAGAGGAGCCCCAGTGTGGCCTTACAGCAGTCCTGAGTCTGAGATCAGCCTCAGTTTGGACCCCACAAGGGAATCGTTGGCTTTCCTTTCTTTCCTTTCTTTCCTTTCTTTCCTTTCTTTCCTTTCTTTCCTTTCTTTCCTTTCTTTCCTTTCTTTCCTTTCTTTCCTTTCTTTCCTTTCTTTTCTTTCTTTTCTTTATTTTTAATCCCGTGTCCTGATTTTGGTGCCGATATTTGTATTTTACGTAAAAATGTATTGACAAGGTACAAATTGTTGTTTTCTAGGAAAACGAAACAACAAAAAGGGGACTTGTTTAGTCGCATCATGATGATGATGATGATGATGATGATGATGATGATGATGATGATGATGATGATGATGATGATGATGATGATGGCCTCCCTAAGATCCACAAATCCAAAAACAAGGCTCTATACTTCCTCCTTTTAGGGGTATCATTTCACAAATCAGAGGCCCTACCACTAGAGCCTCCTACTGGCTAGACAGCATCTTTAAACTCCTCGTCCCCGACTTCTGCGGCAACCATTGGGTCAAGGACAACTTACATGTCCTTCAAAAAATGAAAACACTGAATGAAAAAAGGCAAATGACAAACAACAGCAACGTTTTGGCCATAGACGTGGTAGACATGTACAATAACATCCCACACAAAGAAGGAGTCGAAGCCTGCCGCTTTGCTCTCGCTAGCCTCACCACATACACCCCATGTCAAATTAGAGAAATTTGTCAACTCCTGGAACTAGTCCTTACACTAAACAACTTCTCCTTCAACGACCAACATTTTCTTCAACTCAC